CCTTTATCTACGAACCTATTTCGCGATAGTTCCAGAAGCAGTTTGTCCACTTTGCTGAAAAAATAGTTATTCTTCTGATTAACAAAAAGAATAGGTGAAAGAACCTTAAAGATCGTTTTTTCGGTTCAGGTCTTAAAATTGAACATCACTATGGTAATACCCACTAAATGTTAAAAATCACATTTTGTTTATTACTTTTATTTTAGTCATATATTTTTAATTATTCATATTATTGTATGATTGTATTTCAAACAATTACTAATATGAAATCATCATCCTTCACAGGCTTTTGAAGTAGCATTGCAGAAGTCTTGGGCGGCTACTCAATCTCAAGGAATTAATAAGCCTAATGGAAATCCACTAGTCAAAGTCACCGAGCTGACTTTTGCAGACCCAAAAGGTTCTTGGGGTACTCCTCTTATTCCAGTTGAACGCAAGCCAGGGCTCAATGATGTTGGTATGGTGGCCTGGATCTTTGATATGTCCACACCTGAGTTCCCTTATGGAAGGAAAGTCATCATAGTTGCAAACGATGTCACCTTCAAAAATGGATCTTTTGGTCCAAGGGAAGATGCATTTTTCCTAGCCGTGACTGATCTAGCTTGCGCTCAGAAACTGCCCCTTATCTATCTTGCAGCCAATGCTGGAGCTAGGATAGGTGCAGCTGAGGAAGTGAAGTCTTGCTTTAAAGTTGGATGGTCTGATGAATCTAACCCTGAACGTGGCATCCATTATTTGTACTTGACTCCTGAGGATCATGCATGCTTAGGCTCATCAGTCATATCACATGAACTGAAAATGCCTAGCGGAGAAACCCGATGGGTGATAGATACAATTATAGGAAAAGAGGATGGGTTGGGCGTTGAAAACTTAAGTGGGAGTGGGGCCATAGCCAGTGCATATTCACGGGCTTACCATGAAACCTTCACTCTAACATATGTAACGGGTCGAACCGTCGGCATTGGGGCCTATCTTGCCCGGCTCGGTATGCGTTGTATACAACGGCTTGACCAACCCATAATACTCACGGGCTTCTCTGCACTGAACAAACTCTTGGGCCGGGAAGTTTACAGCTCGCACATGCAACTCGGTGGCCCTAAAATCATGGCAACCAATGGAGTGGTTCATCTCACAGTTTCTGATGATCTGGAAGGCGTTTCTGCGATCATGAAATGGTTGAGCTTTGTCCCGCCGTATTCAGGGGGCCCACTCCCTGTTTCTATAATCACAGATCCTCCTGAGAGACCCGTCAAGTATTTCCCTGAGACAACATGTGACCCGCGGGCTGCCATATGTGGGGTCAAGGATGCTGCAAGTGGGAGATGGATGGGAGGGATGTTTGACAAAGATAGCTTCGTGGAGACCTTGGAAGGGTGGGCGAGAACGGTCGTGACAGGTCGTGCAAAGCTGGGAGGGATACCGGTGGGTATAGTCGCTGTTGAAACACAAACAATGATGCAAGTCATCCCGGCGGATCCGGGTCAGCCTGACTCCCATGAACGGGTCGTTCCCCAGGCTGGTCAAGTTTGGTTTCCCGACTCGGCAACCAAAACTGCCCAAGCGTTGATGGATTTCAACAGAGAAGAGCTCCCGCTTTTCATCCTGGCCAACTGGAGGGGATTTTCTGGGGGACAGCGGGATCTATTCGAGGGCATCCTTCAAGCCGGCTCAACCATTGTGGAGAATCTCAGGACGTACAAGCAACCCGTTTTTGTGTACATCCCCATGATGGGAGAGCTCCGAGGTGGGGCATGGGTGGTTGTGGATAGTAAGATCAATTCTGATCACATTGAGATGTACGCAGAAACAACTGCTAACGGAAATGTTCTTGAGCCACAAGGTATGATCGAGATCAAGTTTAGAACAAGAGAACTGGTGGAGTGCATGGGTAGGCTTGACCAGCAACTCATTGATTTGAGGCGGAAGCTTTCAGAAGCAACAACAGGCGATGCTGCTGCAAAAGTACAGCAGCAGATAAGATCACGTGAGAAGCTTCTTCTGCCAATATACACTCAGATTGCTACCAAGTTTGCAGAATTGCATGACACGTCATTGAGGATGGCTGCAAAAGGGGTGATCAGAGAGGTTGTGGATTGGGAGGGTTCTCGTTTTTTCTTCTATAAAAGATTGCTTCGAAGAATCGAGGAAGAGTCATTGGTCAAGACAGTGAAGGACGCAGGTGGGGATCTGGTTTCTGATCAATCTGCTATTGAGATGGTGAAGAATTGGTTTTTGGATGGTAAGGTAATCACCACACAGAGAAAAGGAGATGCTTGGGCAGACGATGAAGCCTTCTATTCCTGGAAACGAGACACTAGTAACTATGAAGACAAGTTGCAGGAATTGCGGGCGCAAAAGGTCATGGCTCACTTGTCTAAGATTGGCAATTCGGCATTAGATGCGCGTGCTATACCTCAAGGCATTGCTGCACTTCTTCAAAAGGTAATCATCATTATTATTATTATTATTCTTATTATTATTGGTATTCTCTGTTTGCATTTTTGCAATTGTGAAAATCAGAAAGGAGCTGGCATAGTAGTGTTGTTCTTTGCTTTCATTTTTTAAAAAAATATGATTTTTTTGGTAACGTGAATCCATGTATTCATTGCTTTATGTTTTGTCATTATTGGTTAAAAGTAGGATTTTATGAAAAAATCATAAAAAGAGACTTAGCCATCATGTTCATTTATATTGACAATTTTGAAAACAAAAGATATGAGAAAAAATTAATCTGAAAGTATTACCAAATGAATCCCCAACTTGTGTACCTAGTTAAATATTTTATTATTACTACTGTTGTTATACATTCATTTCAGCTCATTTAGATTTTGCAAATGTGACTTACGTTGGGATTTAACTGTGCAGATGGAGCCATCAACTAGAGAGCAGTTGATAGTTGAACTACAAAAGGTCCTCAAATGATAAAGCAGCTTCTGAGAGAGCTACATGTTATAATGCACTCTAAAGCTTCTCAGATACACATACAGTTAGACTTATCATTGAATCTCTACTTTGGCGTGTGGGAGTGTATTTCATAGAAAGAATAGGGGAGGGACATTTCATACATAGTGTCCGAGTCATTACTGTAGTTAAATTACATTCTTTTATGTTGTAATACAACGATGATTGATTGATGATGGTTCTATGCCTGTTTCTTCACATCATTCAAGTCCAAAATTCTTGTTAAAGCTTAATAAAGTGTTTTGGTATTCCTTAAATGTGCTGAACTGCCTTACCATATACATACTTTTAGGGCCTGTATGGTAAGGAACTAAGGATTATTGGTTGGAATGATCGAATCTATTAGTTCAACAAAGTAAGCCATTACAAATCGGGACATTTATCAATATTATACGTTTTTTGGGTGAATCATGACTACGCCAAACCAGGAGGCGAAAACCCATAGATCCTGAATATGTATTATGGACTTCGTGTCAATGTGCATGGTCAGAATTCAGAAAGCACAGCTGTGGTGGTGCTCATGGAGTCACGGGGATGATCAGAAAGCTAGATGTTATTTCTTCTCGAAAAATGAGCCATTATCGTAATCTTCACATGAAGCTACATGGATGTTGTTTGCCTAGTAGTTCCATGGTGTTAACCTTTGGGGTTCCACCTCCTTAATTGGTGTGGTATTTAGAGAAAATATAAGAAGCATGTCAATGTGATTACTATAGAGCACATTGGTGTGATCAATGATTAGGATTCATTCATTTAAATATTTGGATATTTCTGGTCATTCATCACGCCAACGTGCTTCATAAATCATATATTTTCTCACAATGTTTAAGTGTGACAATGAGTTTATTAGTTAGAACTGAGGTAAATACAACAATAAACATTATATTCATTAACTTGATTAAACTAAAATTGAGTTGAAGTATAAAATAATATATCATACAATAAAAAAATATCAAACAATAAAAGTGACTTCGTATCAAGTTTAAAGAATAAGTCAATCAAAGTCGCATCACTAAAGTTATCAAGCTGTGGTAGGAAAGTAAGAGGAGAAGCTTTCAACATCAGCAATCTCAACAACAATTGATGTATAACAGTCTTGCAATGAGTTTCACACTTTCACTTTGTTTTAGTACAAAAATTCAAGGTACTTACTTACCAGCCTTACCTGACAACTGAAAGTCTGAAACAAAGGAAGTAAAGACATTTGTGCAGAAGGCCAGATTATTAAAAGGGTAATTTGGACCACACTCTCATAAGTAAAGACAATTGTGTACTATACATATTGTTGGTCTATTGGAAATGATCATTTATGAAAGAGCTGATTTTTTAATCAAACTCAAATGTGGGAGTGAAAATTCAAATATCCCCAACTAATTTTTCTTTAATTAATTTCTTAATAGTCATTATATACATATGAAAATAATGAAATGGTTACCTATATAAGTCAATTTTTATTACAAATTAAGTTTTTCTATTTTACATGCGTAATTGTTTAATAATCTAAATAAGTAAGGCTTAGATTTTTTTTATGGTTGAATTGACTAAATAACTTTTATTTTGTCTGACTTTTTCTTTATTTCATTAATAAATAAATGTTCATTCATTCAAAACTTTACCAATTTAAACATATTAGTTTTTCCATTTTTAATCTTCAGAATATTATGTTAGTGACGCTTTTGGTACTCAAATTTGACTTGCTTCACTTTGTCCTTTGAATATTTTGAAAGACATGCATTTGTTTCTCAACTCAAAGTTTTTCCACATTTATTTCTCTAACTATTAATCTATTATTAAAAGTGATGCTTTGATTCCTGAACTAATATGACAATGACATTCTAAATTCTCCACTTATTGTACAAAATCATAGTCAAAGATTAAAAATATCACTTTTTTAGAAATCGAGAGACTAAATATGAAAAAAAAAATCAAAGAACTATATATTAAGTGTCTTCTCTGTTTCAAAATGAAACAACTGAAATGAAAAAAAATTCAAAATTGGATATCAAAAGTGTCATATAATAATTTGGGTAATGTGAGTCTTATCAACCAGCCTCTTAATTGTATAATGTTTTGTTGGTTTACTTTGTATGTGACAGAAGTTTTACTATTCTATACCATTAGTTTTAACTGAATGCGTAGTAGCTCAAGGAGGAGGGAGGAGAGGGCTACATACAAACTCTTAAAGACTTCAAGAGTGAAAGATTAATAAAAAAAACTACATGATAGAACAAGCATTAGGATTTTCATCACTGAACATGAGAGTGAATTGTTGTTCCATGGGATCCAAATAAGCAATGGATGGGTTAATGGGTTCCCTCACATAATTTGGGGGGGCTTTCTTGTCATAAACCCCTGGCATGTAAGGGTGTGCCACTAAACCATAGGGCACATATGGCCAAATCTCACACTTCTTCCCAGTTGATTTTGCGGCTTTCATCACTCTTCCTGCATCTACAAACCCTCTCACTGTGGCCTTTTGTTGTTTCATATCCACTTCCACATTCTGTGCTCCTGCATTCATCCACAACCACACTATATAACAAGTCCTAAATTCCATATTCATATAATGTGTTAGGGTAGGGGTGTCCCCATTTTGGATTTATGTGGAATTCATGAAAATAAAGGTGGCCTCAAACATTCAATGGATTTCTATTGCTACTTATTTGGATGGATTTTAATGGATTTTGATGGATTTCTATATACAAAAGCTTCTACCACAAATCTTGTAGAATCCGTCATATATGTGCTCGTTAATCCTACAACATTACCTACTTGTCGGGGGGTGTCCCCGATTATGACTTTTGATGGATCTTAATGGATTTTGAAATTCGAGGGGAATCTATAAGATTGTGGTGGATTATTTTTGTATATAGAAATCCACCGAATTCCATTAAAATCCGTGCAAATAAGTAACAACATAAATCCACGGAATGTTTGAGAACACTTATTTTTCATGGATTCCACAGAAATCCAAATCAGGGACATCTAAATTCTGACGGAATTATAAACTCCGTTAAAATCCCCCAGAATCCGAATTGGGGACACCCTCGTTGACGATGTCTCATACATAGTAATTAATAAGTTTGTTTACATTAACAACTTTTTATCGGAGTGTATAATTTACGGCAAAAATGCACTCGAAAAGTTGTTGTATGGAATTCTCTATCAAATATGGCATATTCCGTTGAAAAAGTTCTTAATGAAGGTAAATTTATCGATTACTACCTCTGTAACACAAAGATCTTCCCATTTTGACTTTTCACGGTCTTCTAAGTTGAACTTTGACTCTAAAAATCTACATATCTATATTTATAAAATTCATAATAAATTAACATTCAAATAATACGTTTTACCATGAGGTATATGAAACAATTTTTTTAATCATAACATAATGTGAACTGTACTAATATTAGATCGATGAAACAAATGATTTTATGAGATATGATCGCAAATCAATACCTTCGTCGATAGAGATCGAAGTACTTCACAACATTATTAGGTACTCCCTCCGTCCCATAATTTACTTCCGTAGTACAAATAGCACACGATTAAGAAAGTGAGTTTTGTGTGGTGGAGAGTTGTGCAGAGGAGAAAGAAATATGTAAAAATTGCTGTGAACCATAAATTATTTGCCAAAAATGAAAAGAGAAATTCTATTTGGGACGAACGAAAAGGAAAAATTAGAAGTATTTTCAGCGACGGAGGGAGTACAATATAATATGTTGGTTTGGAGTCTATACTCGGCAATAATATAATGTACGTACTCCGTAATATGTTGGTTGAGAGTCTATTTTAGCAATAATTTAATACTCCGTATTTTGTTTAAGAATCTATTTTATTTTACCAATAATGTAATATTTCGTCTGTTTTTTAAAGTTATGTGTTGACAAGTATGAAAGACAAATTTTTGCAATTAATAAAGGGGTTAATCCCTAAATATTACTAATTTGAACTGAATTTCCAAAAAATGTGAGTACTTTTAAATATTGACAAAAAAATGATTAAATAGGTCATATACTTGGAACTATAAAACATAATGTCACTGGAAAAAAATTATGTCACTGTGTTCATTTATTCGTGTCATTGAAAGCGGTCACCGTCAAAATTTCACGCCAATTACGTCGCCACCGTCACAGTGATGCCACCATAGTGACTCCACCACAGTGACGCCGACATAGTGACGCCGCCACAGTGATGTCGCCACGGTGACATGCCCCTCTTCGGCTCTCCCCTGCAACCACACCCTCTCCTCTGCCTCTGTCACACTGCAGCCCCCCTCACCCTCTCACAGTCCCATCACCGTCCTATCCCCAGTCCGACGCCGCCCCACTTGTTACCGCCATCTCCAATCACACCGCCGCCCAACACTAGCCCCATTCCAACCCGTAACCCTAGCCCCATTCCAACCTGTAACACAGCCGCGCCGCACAAGATCCGCAAGCGAGACGATTAAGCTTCACCGGAGATGAAGAAAGGGGAAGAAGAGAGACGCCGGAGAAGACAGATCTGCGATGCAGTAACACTGATGGCGTCGTGGGGGTGGAGGCGCCGGTCTGGGAGAGGAAGATGGCGATATGGGAGAAAAGGATGATGATTTCGTCCGAGCTGGGAGAGGCGCCGATCTGGCCGATTGGGAAAAGGCTGAGAGTTGCGTGAATGGGCCGAGAAGAAAATCGCGCATGTTACAAAGCCTGCGCTTGGGAGAGAGACGGAGGGATATTTTAACTCTCTTTTTTGTCAATTTGAAATCCAGTCATATATTTGTCCAACTAAAGTTCATAAGTGATGTTTTTGCCATTGTTTCATTAATAAAGAGTAGAGATAGTACTTGGTATATAGATTCAATTTAGATCCGAGTCTATATTTTATTTTAGGGAAAATGAGAAGTTTTGTCTTTCAATTAATCATCATATTGAAATGTCAGACCTGTATTTCTGATATAGTAAATGTCACCCTCGAATTGATGTATGTGTTGTAAATGCCATCCCCGTTGAATTTATTGGTAGTCCATAATGGGAGATGGATTATAAACGGCGGGTATGACATTTACAACATATATGTCCGTTAAGGGGTGATATTTGCAATCTCGGAAACACGGGTTTGATATTTCAATATGGTAACTAATTGAGGGATCAAAACTGCGATTTCCCCTTTATTTTATCAATGATGTGGCATGTTTAGCGAAGCCCCTTTTCAAATTTGGCCAAACACTCTTATTAATAATCTTGCGAGCATTTTCATTGACTTTTCTTCTTTGATATAGATTTCCTGTATACTACCTCCCAATTTAAATCTTTTGGATCAAACTTTATAAATTTTGACCATTAATTATTCAAAACTCACATTATGTTATGATTAAAAATTTATTTCATATACCTCATTGTAAAACATATTATTTGAATGTTAATTTATTATGAATTTTATAAATATAGATATGTAGATATTTAGAATCAAAGTTAAATTTAGAAGATCGTAAAAAGTCAAAATGAGAAAATTATACGTAGTATTGTTTTAAAGAGCGTTTTAAATAACAAATGTAGTAGCTCGTGAGATAGTGCTACGTTTCTTGTAACTAGCAGTGGGGTCAAGTAACTATATGTGATTGGCCCCAACTCGTGATGTTGGTTTTCTTTGTTGCCATTTGGACTTTTTAAAATATTGACAATCTTGTCTATATTTGAAAAAATTAAAGGAGAAAATCTAAAAGAAAATCATATTCATATATATATATATATATATATATATATATATATATATATATATATATATATATTTATGAGTAAATTCTCTAAATAGGAGTAAAAAAGTTTTGAAATTTCAAAATAGGGCTATCATGTTTTTTATTCCCTGAATAGAAGTAAATTTCTGCCAAATTTCACATTACTAGGCTTTTAAACATGACATTTTTTCCAAATTTACAGATTACTCCTATTCAAGGAATAAAAAACATGATACTCCTATTTTGGAATTTCAAAGCGTTTTTACTCATATTTAGAGCAATTTCTATATAATTAAGTGAATGGATGGGTATATTCTAATTTTATAATTGTATTATACGAAGTGTTTTAAATAAAGGTCAAAATGTAATGTATTTTTTCCTATTGTAACTGTCTAAGTTTTCATCTTTAACCCTAAACAATACATGTTTTTTTAGAAATACTTACATATGTATGATTAAATAAACATTATTTATAAAAAAATATGACCTCCTAAATGTAGTGATTATATTAATAACTTAATTCTAGTAACTTAATTTCAATCTTTGTATATTTAAGTCACACTAAGACCACACTAGCTATATATATAGTAACTAACTATTAGTCATATTTAATTTTTGTAATTAAGTTTTATTCCAATAATAATTTTGAAACAACTTAACTGGGATATCCATTTCCAACGTTGAGTGTCGATATAATTATGTAATTATTGTAATAATTAATTAAAAGAGATCGGTTTTACCAATTAAATTCGATATATCATATATATACTTGTTGAACCAGAATCATGTTTTACGTAACTAGTGTGTATGCATAGATATGAGGAAGCGGTCCAGCCCAGCTGGTCGCCGACTCACTCTTTCTTACGAGAGGTCTCGAGTTCGAAACTCAATGGAGTGAGTTTCAGCCTAGATTACTCCAAACTCTCCCAGCCCCCGATGCCCTTGAAGTAAAAAAAAAAGTGTGTATGCATAGATATTACGTACGTACCTTTGACTTGAGAGAGGGCATTCCTGACTTTACGCACACAACCTTCACAATCCATTCTGATCTTGATTGACACTGTGCTCAACTGCCTCCTCTTCTTCCTCTTCTTGCTTTTCTTGGTTCCAATTCTACCGATGATCTTCTCAGACAGGTACTCAAGAGTTGTTATAATTCCCATCTTAGCTTAGCTTCAATTCTTTTCTTCCAATGCAATTAACTCACTAGCTAATTGCATTAAACTTAATTAGAGAAATTAAATTTAACACAAGATTGATTATATTGGCCGGGGAATGGAGATCGATCGTGAGTTTTTGTAAACAATGTTAAGATACAAAACCGTAATAAGCTAAGATTTCAAGATCGAAAAGAACTACTGATTATATATATATTAACTGGTGTTTTGCAAAATGATAGACTTGCAAATGGTCGGATGTATATATATATATATGTGTTGGAAAGAGGTGTTATGTAAGAAATCAGAAAAAATAAATGTATATATGGTGCATTGTTTTTGACGTTTAATGACTCTAAATGTGACATCATTGTTAATTAACATTGAAAAACGGACTCAATTTAAAGTGAGTCGAATGTTTGAACAATACTTTATTTTAGACGCGTCCACAAAAGTAAAGCATTCACATTTCTCTCGTTAAGCATCTTGATTGGGTTGTTTTTATTTTTCAATCACATTTAGATTTGATTTAAATGGTTTCAATTGTACCTATCAGATTCAAATGAAACCATATTAGTTTTGGTTAATGTTGGTTGAACTTTGATATGTTTATGTGTTACTCGATCATTTAGTGTATTAATTAAGTTTATTGGTATTTCCTGCTAATAACCAAACTGCACAGTTTGAATTTCATGTTTGTTAATGCACAACACTAATTATTGGTATATGTGTTATTTAATTAAATATAAGTAACAATACAAAAAGATCATATTTTGATATTTTAAATGAATATAAATTAGTAGTAATATTTTAATAATATAATTGTTGTACATTAATAAATAAAATATACATCATCAAAAATAGAGTATGAGGATGAAATAAAATTATAATCAAAGTGCTATAACTATTAAGAAACGAAGATACTACTGTACATATATGTTTATTGAGAAATGACTATAAATAGTTGAACTTTGGATCTGATAATAATATAGAATTGGTAATTAATTAGATGAAGTGTACATGAACCTAATAGTGATGTGTTTGAATTATGTTAAGGACTATTTAGAGGTCTTCTTTGGCAATGAGCTATGACCACCCTATATGTGTTTGCCTTCTTGGGTGTCATTAATTGGATAGTCCCAAAACATCATCTTTCGTAAACAGTTTTCTCCTAATTTCTGAACAGATTGGGAATGCAGCTTTTCATGAATCATGTCATAGTAATACAAATAAAATAAAATAAAATAAAATAAAATAAAATAAATAAAATAAAATGCATCGTTAGGTGAGGTTGTGAGAAGTGGCAATCAATTGGATTAATTAATGTCACAACATATAATCCTTCAATTCTAAAAACGAGATGGACAGTCGTGTAGTTAGGGTTGGCCATGCCGGTCTGACGCAAACCAGGATTGGTGAATCAAAAGTAGGAAAAAATACCTTTTAAAACAATACTTTTAAAAAGTTAATCAATGATATTTTTAATACTCTCCCTCTATTTAAGAGATCACTATATTAGGCTGTGACACAATATTTAAAGGGTAAGGAATAGCAAGAGTAATGAATAGAGTAAAAAAAATAGGAGAGAAGAGAGATAAGTGAGAAATAGAAGATAAAAAAAAGAGTAATTGAGTATTTTTAAAGAAAAAACTTACAATAACAAACTTTTAAATACATCACGAATTTGAAACTGTAACAAATTTTAAAATATGAAGGGAATACCAAGTATGGAATTAAATTGAATAAGAAAATTATGTAAAAAATGTTTCTCATTAAAAATATTTTCATAAAAGTATAAAAATTATAAATTATATTCAAATATAATATATACGAAGTAATGAAAATCATTTTTGAAACTTTGTTATGGTTCACCAACAAAAGTCAATATGATAAACGTTTTAGACGGGTAACATATACTACATCCGTCCCAAAAAACTTTACCATTTTCAAAACTTTGACCAATTATATCTTTCTATTGGAAATTATTTATAATATGAAAATTATATGAAAATGTTCTTTGTTAAAAGTACTTTTATCAAAGTATAAAATTTATAACTTCAATATTATTATACTAATCAAAAACATGATTCAAATTTTTTGAAATGAAAAAGATTTTTGAGATGGAGGTAGTATATATTTGTGTGTGTGTGTGTGTGTATGTGTGTGTATATATGTACACACACGTGTCAAATGAGAATCAATTTGAGCCGTCCAAAGTTTTAATCTGATGCACAATAGTCCTTATCTAATGCATTGTGCATTAAATCAAACCCTATCTGATGCACTTTAAAATTTGGACAATGCATCAGATAAGGTTTATTATTGCACAATGCATTAGATAAGGACTATATATGTGCATCAGATTGAAAATTTGAACGGTTCAGATTCATTCTCATTTTTCACGTGAAGACTCTTTTTTATTTGATCCAAACATTCCTCTATAAAACATAACCATGCTTTCAAATATGACTACTACCAAGCATATACTTCGTATATTTTTTATTGCTATGATGAAATCTATTTTGTCAAAAGTAAAGAGCATCATTTACTAAATGAAGAAAATTATTATTCATCATGAAATATAGGGGTCATAAAAAAAAATTGTGACGGTGGTCATTTAAAAAACCCATATACTCCGTATTATTATTTCATAATATACAAATTATTTAAATATTGAGCTTGACTTTGCGGGTGGTGACGGATGAGATCTTTTTTATTAAAAAAAGTTGTCGTGCCATTTCATCATCTTAAAGTGAGCAAATTTTTAAATGCAAGTCATGACGGTGCCATATATTTTATGACTCTTGGAATTGAATCTTGGGGGACATATATATAATAATATATTTAATATTCATCATTTTGGGCCCATATTCTTTCCCTTCTTTTTTCTTTTACTTTTCTTTTAGGTAGTTCTCGGTGTATTCATAAATACTGTTCCTACTAAAAAAATGTGATTGTTATGTTTGTTTTTTGCAAAGATCTCGATCACATGCAATCAGTGTACTACGTATATGTTTTGTATAAAGCGAAGTGCTAAAGAAAATGTACAAAAGTTGAAAGGAGTTCAAACTAAGAGAAGCTAGATGGCCTAGATGGGAACTAATTACAGACGAGTACTTTGCAAATGAAGGGTAGGTAGTGCTTTTATTCGAGCCGAGCCGAGCCGAGCCCGAGTATCACAAATTCGAACTCGATTCGCTCGTTTTTCTAGCTTGGCTCGAGCTCGGCTCGTTAAAATTTGATTCTATATTTTAGCTCGAATTTGGCTCGTTAAACTAATTTCCGGCTCGAGCTCGACTCGTTAATATACCCGAGTCAAGCTACTCGAGCTCGATAACTCGTTAAAGTGGGTCTAATGTCCTATACGGCTCGAGTCCTATCACGAGCTTCACCGGGTTTTTCGAGTCGAGCCAGCTCGACTCGTTAACCTTATCGAGTAAACCAATGACTTCGAGCTTGACTCATTTTTTCAAATATACGAGCTGAGTCCGAGCTTGATCGAGCCGAGTCGAGTTGAGTTCGAGCCAGGCTCGATTTCTATAACAGCACCAAGGGTAGTGATATAATTAAATAGATTACAGTTTATTTTGATTATTTTATGTAAATTTGAAACATATCTTAAAATGTTTAGCATGCATTGAATCATTAAAAATATCTACATGGGGTTGGGAGGTAAATAATTTGCGTGTTTTTATTAAACATTTTAATGACTGTGTGATTTGACACTCTAAATTTGTAATTAATTCCCACACTGATATATCAAATTAAGTACTCGTAGTAAACTACTACGTATTATATATATTAAGATCAGATATTTCTCCTATTATCTTTATTTTTAAAATGAAACCCCTAATTTTAACGGACAATTTCAGAGTGAAACTAATACATAAACATGGTTGGTCCCTACGAAAAGTGATGACAGTTATGAAAAAATGACAACAATTATGACAGGAAAAATGAATGATAATATGATCCAGATAAAATATCTTCTATTGGTCGTGAGGGGAAGGGTTAAAGTATTCGCACACTCATAAAAGATGAATCAATAAATTACTCCGTATTAATTATATTAATATATTGACCCCTTCTTCTGCTAGGTTGACTTTTTAGGGTGAAATTTGAATCTTAACATTTTATGCGCAATCGTTATACATACACGATTTTATATCATTTAATTTAATGGTGCGCAAATTATCAAACACACCCTCAATTGAAAGTGTAAGTTAGCATTTCAGTTCAAGTCTTATATACACATATACATGTAGCAATTTGACTAATAATAAAAGATGAATCAACATATTAATTTGAAGGGGCATTAATTGCTTGTAAGGTTTGAAGGTTTGATGAAAATTAAAAGAGTCGTTTGTGCTAAAATTTTCTCCGTAAAATGCTAAAAAGAAGACGAAGACATTCATAAATTCCTGGTCGAGTTTGGCTCAATTATTGGATTGAAATAATGTGTAGAAGGCTAAATTTCCAAAGATCTTTACGACTTTACGTGTAAGTTGTAGATGCATGTTTGCACGATTATTAAGGTCCTGAGTCGTGACACTTGTAAATGTTGTTTCATGATTGCTACTTTAATTAGGTGTTTAAAAAACTCTTTCTTGATAAACTAAGTTAATTGACAACTAAATTGATATGTTAAATATGAAAACACAACTAAATTGTACTTAAGTATTGACTAAGACATTTTAAATGAGTAATTTTACAAATTATTCTGAACGGCACTACTAATTCTATCCGTCTCAAAACGATTTGCAAAGTCATATTTTCTTGATCAACAACACAGTTTTACTTTAATTTATCTATTTATTAGCGTATCAATATTTGTATATATTCTATTTTGGTAAATTTTGCAACTTTATAGAACTCCCGGTGTATTTTCTAGTTTCTGAATATGTAAATTTTAATTGTTAAGAGTAATTTAATTAAGGAAGTATTAACTTTCATTTAATTTGTTTATTTATAATGCATGTACGGACCTATTAATATTAATAAGTACATAGATTAACTCTCATGTACATGAAGAGTTAGTTAGCACTCGATTAACACGAAGGTGGTTAGGCTGATAGCTATCCTGTAACTTGAGTGTATATAAATAAACATGCATGCATGTACGATCAAAATAAATAATATACAAAAATTAAAAAATATATATTAACTTCTTCAACCTAATGCATAATACGAACTAGTACAGATGGACTCAACCGGTGGGCGTAGCCAATTGATAGCATTTAGCAAGGGAGTGCCACGAGAGTTAGGTCCCGGATTCGAATCCCGACAACTGTGATGAGAGGTTACTATGCTAAAATATGTATAGAGTCTCTGTAAATACCGGAGACAGAACCTCACTCTCTATCTGTCAGATTGGGATTATAGTCTAATTTACATCCTCCCAACGTACCGTCCGATCGGAGTTGGAGGACCCTCAAGGATGGGGTGTCATCCTTTTTTCTAGTAGAGATGACTCAGAGCCGGCCAAGGCCCTGAAAATATAGAATAAAGAAATAGGCCTACTTTTTTCTAGACTTTTATTTTAAGTTTAGGCATTTTGTTTTATTTTTGTTGACAATTTAAAAGTTTTAGAACACAAGTAAAAAGTCTATAGTGGAGAAAAATATGAAAAGGGGTACATTAATTTTAAGTAAGGGATATACATTAATTTTAAGTATGATAGTTGTAGTTGATCTTCAAAGCAATGTGATTGTTGCTGAAATAATAAAAGACTTGCCTCTTCCGTCTTCACATCTTTTTAGCCTTTAAGACTTGTTATTCATTGTAATTATAAAATTACAAATTTATATTATTGTCTAGTCTTTGCCTCTTTCAAATCTCATCCCAATTGTTTCGAAATTTCAATTGCAAACAACGTGATCAATAGATAATATCCGAGTTCCTAATTAGATAGTTTAGCGTTGTTACATATGGCACTTTTATTGTCTCGTTAAATTGATATTTGTGTGCTATACTATGCAATTTGATATTCCTTTATTATTTGTAATTTTTATTATTGGGAAATTTTGACTATGAAACAATTATCGATGATTTTGCTTCACACTATTTTGCGTTAAACGTTTTTAAGTAATGTTTTTTCTTTTTATGTGATATTAGTGTTGTTAATTTCACCCAACTTTATGTTAATTTTTAAGTAATGTTTTGTGATTTTCTTCACATTGTTTAGGCTTGTGCAAAGGGTTGTGCCCTCTAGAGATATTATTGCCAATTTTACTATACCGTGAAGAGATGAACAGAACTTTGGTGCAACTAAAGGTTAAGTATTTGACTTCGTGCCTCATCTTTAACAGTGTTCTAAAAACAATTATGCCGTTCTTAAATGGCAGATTAAGGTTTAGGGTCTATAAAGATTTAGAGAGAAGTTAATCAGGATTTGGACAAGACCAAATAAAAAGAAACATAGAGACTAATCAAAAAGGCCTAATAATGCCTAAACAAGACTTAGGTGAAGTTAAACTGGGATTTGGATAACAGCTGGTGATGCCCTTAATAAATGGTCGATAATGATTTTCTATTGAAAAATGAAAATGTTGCAATAATGCGACCTTTAATTTGCCCCCCATCCGTATGATATGTCCATATGCCGTAAAGCTTCTTTCTGTCGATGACCATGACAATTGACAAGCTAGTGGGCCTCATTAAATTGATTAATTAAGCAGCTTAATTAATAATTTGTGAGTGTTACTTAATTACAAAAACCAACGACCAATTAATTAAAAATCATTAATCATTTAACTAACCATTCAGACATGTAAAAACATCATAAGAATACTATGATTGGAAGTATGCCCTAGGACAATAATACTTTATGATTTATCAACGAGTATTTAATGTTCATTAATTAATAAAGTCACAAACTCATTTTATGTTAATTGTTATCGTGAATTTTCTTTATTAATATTTAGTCCCTGAATATTATGTTTAGTAGCTAATTAAGTACGTGACTTAATTGTGGAATGCTACACTTTAAAATAAACATAATATTCTAATTGTCTCTGGTCTAATATTATTAATTTGGGACATTAATAATTAATAGACCAGTATGTGGATTAACTAATGGCTATATTCCACTAGTCATGGGTATAGAGATATCAAGTTAATAACATAGATGCTTGTTAGTGAACAAGTTCATTGGACAAACCCAATTTGAGGACACTGCTAGGTTATATGTCATCAGTGTTGTCCTCAATAATGATGAGGTGCTATATTCTTATACTTGAGATAATCATGGTTACTTGCATGTGAATTAATATGTATTAACACCATTAAATGTTATCTTTAAACGGGTAATTATAAAGGTGGTGATTGTACATATTATGAACCATGTAGTGGTATGTGAATTATCAAGATAGTTTTTGTCACTCTCGTATAGTGAGAGAAAGATATCTATTGGACCTCTTGACAAGTAAGATTAATTAGCATGGTCATGCTCAAATGAGGTGTCATTTGTTCAAGATTAATCTTACTTGGTAATCAAGAACTATTAATTGAGAATAACAAGGATGACACAACCTAACCTTGTCTCAATTAAGATATCGTTTGACAAAAGAGAATTATTAGCACAAATTAATCATTAAAAGGTTATGTCAGATTTAATTGACATTTATATATTTTGGATAGTCATAATGCCTTGCTAGAGGCCGCTTATGATTTGTGAGGCTTGAATTAATTTTCTAGCCCACTGCCAACGATATATAAACCTACAGGGTCACACACCTAAGTGATTTGGATCATTAACGTTCGTTAATAACATTAAAATATCCTGATTAGCCCAATTCGAAGTAGGTTTTCGAATGGTATTGGACTAGGGCCTCCAGGAGAGTTTTATTAGCTATAAAACTCCTTCTTTCCTCCTCTTATAAATAGGGCTAAGGAGACCCACGAATTTAAAGAGTTAAAATTCACATCTCAAAACCTAGAGAGAGAGAGAGAAAAGAGAACGCTAGCACGTTCCCTGTGGCCGATCCAGTCACGTGCGTGTGGATACCGGTAGAGCTCGGGATTGTTTTCTCGGACTGTCTGACATCCTTGCTTAAGATTGCTATGTAAGTCCCTCTTATATCTTATAATTTTGTTTATAGTAAGAACCTCAGATCCGGTTGTTTACTTTTGGGCAGTATTTTTTTGTTTATTCCGCTGCGTTTTTCTGCCTGAAACCCAACAAGTATTTCACTGAGATACTACCCTTAATTAGCTAATGGAAAATCACACTCTTAGGATGTTTTTACTTAAACTCAAATCATATTAGATCAAACAAGAACATACCAAATCAGACCAGACTTAAACAGATCAGACCAGATTTTAAGTGACTATACCAAACCAATAGATATATTGGGAGGAGAGAAGAATGATGCAGCTTTCTTGTCCAATGTATTTGTTGATGATTCCAGAAGACAAAGAGTTCCAACGGTTCACGCTGGTGGTTCAAGTTTTAAGCCTGGGGTATGAAGGGTTGTCTTCATGATGGAGTTAATTTTGAAGAAGCTGGGATACACTTGGAGGGCAATGACGTAGTTTGGCCATCATGGAGAATTAAAAGTGTTTCTGGACATCAATTAACACGTCCTCTGACTGGTGCATTAGTGCAAGACCACTTAATTGCAACGTCTCAGACAATTCATGAGCAGGAGCACCCATAAACTTCAATTCCTCTACAACCATTTGAAATGTTGAAGAGTCCTTTAGAAAATGGATCTCTCGGTTGGATCCACATCAATCCTCATGAAGAAGTCAACACATTCTATAAATAGTTTGATGGTTGTAATATCTCATCTGAGGTGAAGATCATGTACCCAGTTTTGTCACTTGGGTTGGCTATCGTATCTCAGGTGAAGAACTTGGAGAGCATTAGTACTAGTGCAGCTACAACATCTCTAGACTCTTCCACCAACTCTTTGAGTGTTGCTATTGGAAACGAATCTGGCCAAGTTCCCTATTACATGATTGGAAGCAGCTCTGGCTAAGAGAAAACAAGATTGCAATTGATCACTGAACCCAACACTAAAGTTTCCCTTTTCCCAAGTGGTGCTGGGTATCAATGCACAACTCTCTCTTCGTTTGTCAGTTCCCCAGTATGCATCTGGCAGGACATGGCGTCAGGATCCCAATGGGTTATGGGGTTTGAAAGTCGCCAGGTTGCTATACTTGATATTGGTTCACCCTCGGTTTTATTTCTAATGTACAGTCCCTCTAGCTCAAGATCTATGGTCTTTTCTGCTAAGGCATCTTTGGGTGTTCATCAAAATACTGTAAAATCAGAAGGTGGAATCTCATATGAAACTAAGGAAGAACTTGCTTTGTGCTTACCCATAGATGGACACATTATTTTAATGACTACAAGCATTGGCAGTTTGATCCATTCGCAACCAGTGCATCCAGAAAATGATGTTGAAAGAAAAGATCAAACAGCACCATCTGATCATGAGGAACAAAACACTTACAAAGATCCCAACAATCAGAGTGTTCTCCAGGCAAGCAAGCTCATGGTTCCAGCATCAGTTAGGTACTGGAAAGGAAGAGATGCCAGGATGAAGATGAATTTGAAGATCTAGGTTGTTTCCTATCACCCACCTTGAGGACATGGTGGTTGTTCAAGGGGGGAGATATGATAGGGACATGGACCTCCAATAATAATAATAGTAGTAGTAGTAGAATTATACTAAGGAATGTGATATTGTATAAATAAGGGTTTTGGGCTAGGTACTAGTAGCTTGGGCCAGCTCATAGAGAATTTTATTATAAATAGGAGTGGAGTAGTGATAATCATGTAATTTTCATGTGTATGTTTGTATTTTTAATTAGTTTTGATTGATTTTTACTTTGGAAATTACACACTTTTGGTGTAATAGTTTAGTTTGTTAATTTCTTGTAAATTGTTTATATTAGGTTCATTCTGAGCTCAAACAGGTCTTGATCGCTCAAAGGACAGTTGGTGAACCCCAAAAGTGGAAGAAAGGTGCATAATCTCAAGAGAAAATAGGATCCTGAATTTTTGGTCTATACCCGGTCGGGTATCATCTATACTCGATCGGGTATCTTGTTGAAACTTCAAATCGGATCGGATCCGAATACAAAGAAACATGCATGGAAGATTTTGACCACGATCGAGTGTCTATACCCGATCGGGTAGACCGACATACCCGATCGGGTATGCCCTTGAGTTTAACCCCAAATCCGGTCGAGTATAGCCCGAATATCATTTTCCCCACATACTCGATCGGGTATAAAAGCACACCCAATCGGGTATACCTATAGAATATAGCCTATAATCGATCGAGTATACCTCGAATATGGCATTTTACACATACCTGATCGAGTACCGTGTATATACCCGATCAGGTACCCGAGCTGCATCCCAAGAGCCTATAAATACACCTCCTTTCCTTCACAATTAGATATCCAATTTCCTATATACTTCTAAGAGTAGTCTAGAATAGTTCTTTCTTTATATTTTCTTCATGTTTAGTCTCCAAATGAGGAGCTAAACTCTTCCATCTTGGTTTTGCTACTTTGAAGCTTAATGAATTTGTAAGTTGTGAGTTATTTTCTTTAATCTTCTTCCTTGAATATTAATTCTTCCTTTAAAATACTATTTCTATATCAAAGATGGGGAGTGTTACTAAGATGGCAATTAGTTAACATCTTGACATTGGTTATAGTAATAGTTATTTCTTCCTCTATGTTAATATTGGGAAGTGTTACTAAGATGACAATTAGTTAACATCTTGATATTAACTATAGTAGGATTCATATTCTTTAATATTCTTCCTTGAGTATTAATTAATTCCTACTCATATTTCATGTTAATATTTTGAACATTACTTAAAGGATTAACTAGTTTTGTTTCATATATTAATTATTACTAGAATCAATCGATTAATACGCTTGTTATTAATTCGATTCATTCAACGGTAGTAAACTTGGATTATTAATGCATGCATCTCATGGTTAATACACCAAGGGGAATTAATTATATTGATTAAACCAATAAACCGCTTGTGTTGAGGTTATCAATCTCAATCGTTTTCATCTTAAGCTTATTGCTACTATCGAATTAATATACGGCGCTTGTTCTATGTTGACTCGATAGTAAGTTTTATTAATGAACGCATCTCGTTATTAATAACTACCCTTGATGAACTGGATATACTCCTCGATTGAGTATTCGAGAGGAAGATAGTTAAAGATATAAATGGGATCGACGAACATTTCATTAAGTGAATAAAAGCAAAACCAAGTCCTCATCTCTATTAGTTAAACAACATAAGTCATCTTAGTGTTTAAATTTACTTCAAATCCTACAACAATCAAAAACCCCCTTTGTTACAAATTATATAAAAGTAAAGTATTCATTTCCCTATGGATACGAACCTTACTTCGTTATACTACGTATATTCGTTGTATTGTATTTATTTTGAGTGCACCTCACGACAAGTGCATGTCAAATTTGGCGTCGTTGCCGGGGAAAGGCAATAATTTTTCTTTTATTTCATTTCAAGAAAAGTAAAAAAAGAAGTATAAAAAGTATATAAATAAAATATAAAGAGTTCTTGTTTTTCTATTTCTGAGCTTTGAAGTATATGGTTAAATATCGTTCACTGAACGAAATCACCTACCAATCAAACCCCGAAATAGAACAAACTTTCGAGCGGTTGAAAATGAATTTTCAAACACTGACTCGGAGGAATCATCTACCAGAGATTCATCCACCGCTAGCTCGAGTTCTAGCGAATCCGAAGAGTCCTTTCACATGGCTCTTGAAACAAGAACACTGAGGGAGCTCACAGCTCCAAACTTGAATCAACAACCACCGTGTATTACCTTCCCTACACTCAACGAAGGTAATACATTTGAGCTTAAATCTGGGCTGATTCATCTACTTCCTTCCTTCCATGGCTTAAAAGGGGAGGATACAAATAAACACCTCTCGGAGTTCCACATCGTATGCACAAACATGTGTCCTGATGGAGTTACCGAAGAGCAAATCAAATTGCGGGCTTTTCCATTCTCACTTAAGGATACCGCAAATGATTGGCTTTTCTATCTTCCCTCGGGAAGTATAGACACATGGGCAACCATGAAAAAATGCTTCTTGGAAAGGTATTATCCCGTTTCCATTTCATCATCTTTAAAGAAGCAAATCAGCAACATCGAACAAGGTGATGATGAATCACTTTATGAATATTGGGAGCGCTTCAAAAAGCTTTGCGCTAGCTGCCCATATCATGGGTATACAGAGCAAGACCTCATCCTCCACTTCTATGATGGTCTTACGGAACATGATAGACGCATGGTGAATGCGGCGTGTGGAGGGGGCATCGTGAACAAAACTCTCTCTCAAGCGAGAAACCTCATCTCGGAGTTGGCCGAGAATTCTGGGCATTACACCAGGCGGTCCTCAACCCGGAAAGTTGCCGCAGCAAAATCTACATCATCATTGGAAAGTCAAATGGCCGGCTTGACCTCCTTGGTTAAGGATTTCCTCTTAAATCCTAAAATCCAAGAGGTCAAGGTCTGTGGCATATGCACGTAACAGGGGCATCCTACCGACTCTTGCCCATCACTTCAAGAAGATAACCTCGAGCAAGTCAACGCTTTGGGGTTCCAAAACCAAAAGAGGTATGATTCTTATGACAATACTTACAATCCCGGGTGGAGAGATCACCCAAATCTTAGATATGGGAATCCTCAAGGAAACCCACAACAAAACAACACTCCACAAAATCAATCCTTTCCTCAAAATAAACAACCATACCCCAAACCACAAGGCCAAAATATGTCCACTGAGGACATGATCCGAGCCCTCACCTCAAATGTCTCAACCATGCAACAAAACATGGTTCAATTCCAACATGAGACAAAATCTAGCATACAAAACCTTGATAACCAAATGAGCCAAATCTCAAGTGCGGTGAGTAGAGACTCGAGGCCAAGGATTCGGCAAAACTTCCATCCCAAACAGAGCCGAATACTAGGCAACAAGCCCATGCGGTGACATTAAGGAGTGACAAAGAGCTGGTTATTGCCAAAGAAAAAGCAAGAAACCACATTGGCGAGGAAGATGAACAGGAGGTTGTGGAGAAAGCTCAATCGGAGGAGGAAGAAACCCAAATTCCAGCTCCAACTTCAATCATCCATGAGGTTGAAGCACTGTTCCCTGAGGCTCTACGGGAAATACGAAGGGTGGAAAAAGACAAGGACATCTATGAGACATTCTCCAAATGTGAGGTAAATATTCCTCTCCTTAATTTGATAAAGAGTGTCCCCAGATTTGCAAATTTTTTTAAAGAGCTATGTACAATAAAAAGGAAACATAGACTCAATGGAAAACAAAAAGTCCAAGTTAGTGAACGTGTTTCGGCGGTTTTTCAAAAGAAACTCCCAAAGAAATACAATGATCCAGGCATGTTCACTATACTTTGTAAATTGGGAGGTACTACGTTTTCAAAGGCCATGCTAGATTTAGGAGCGTCAATTAATGTCATTCCTTACTCTCTATACAAATCACTTGAGCTTGACCCTCTAAATGAAACCGGAGTAGTCATTCAACTTGCGGATAGATCAAATGCTTATCCTAAAGGTATTGTCGAAGACTTACTAGTTATGGTTGACAATTTGATCTTTCCCGCCGACTTTTATGTTTTGGAAATGGAGAATGATAAGAATTCGGTGCCTATCCTTTTAGGGAGACCATTTTTAAAAACCGCTAGAGCAAAGATTGATGACTTTAACAGATCTTTAACAATGGAATTTGATGGAGATAAGGTTGAGTTCAACATTTATGACTCCATGAAATACCCAAATGAAAATCATTCTTTGTTTGCCATTGATGTTATTGATCCTCTTGTACAAAACACGTTTGAAATAAATGGAGAGGATGAACTGTTGAGCATAATTGAGAACGATTTGGGGGTAAACTCTTTAGAACTTGCCTTGACCCCCAACACACAAGCCATGATGGTGGAATTGGATAACCATTTCCAACTTCCACTTATGCCACCGGGGTCAAGAGCATTTCCACTAACCATCCCCGAAGAGAAGCCTTTGCCTTCTATTTTGCAGGCCCCCGAAGTGGAAATGAAGTCACTCCCAAAACACTTGAAATATGTGTTCTTGGGAGAAAAACAAACCTTGCCGGTCATAATCTCAAACAAACTGACCGGAGATCAAGAAGGCAAGTTGATAGCGGTGCTCAAGGAGCACAAACTAGCAATTGGATGGACTATAGCCGACATCAAAGGCATTAGTCCATCTACATGCATGCACCGCATCTTGATGGAGGATGAAGCTAAGCCGGTGTGACAGCCGCAAAGAAGATTAAACCCACCGATGATGGAGGTGGTCAAAAAGGAAGTCATCAAGCTACTTCAAATGGGGATAATCTTCCCCATTTCCGATTCAAAGTGGGTTAGTCCAACCCAAGTTGTTCCCAAGAAGACCGGAGTCACGGTGGTGGAGAACAAAGATGGAGAACTTATACCCACCCGAATTCAAAACGGATGGAGGGTATGCATAGATTACCGTCGACTCAATGCGGTAACTAGAAAGGATTTCTTTCCTTTGCCCTTCATTGACCAAATGCTTGAGAGACTTGCCGGGCATAAGTTCTATTGTTTTCTTGATGGCTACTCCGGGTATTTTCAAGTGTCTATATCCCCTGAAGATCAAGAGAAGACCACCTTCACTTGTCCATTTGGCACCTTTGCATACCGACGCATGCCATTTGGACTATGCAATGCCCCGGCCACGTTTCAAAGATGCATGATGAGCATATTCTCCGAGTATGTTGAACTGTTTATGGAAGTTTTTATGGATGATTTTACAATCCATGGAGACTCATTTGATTCATGCTTACTCCATCTATCTCTTGTTTTGAAAAGTTGTTTAGAATCAAATCTTGTTCTAAACTCTGAAAAATGCCACTTTATGGTGGAGGAAGGAATTGTTTTAGGCCATGTGATCTCATCCAAAGGGATAGAGGTAGATAAGGCCAAAGTTGAAGTTATCCAATCACTCCCTTATCCTACTACCGTTAGGGAGATACGGTGATTTCTTGGACATGCAGGTTTCTATCGGAGATTCATCAAAGACTTTTCAAGGATTGCATCTCCTTTGTGCATACTTTTGCAAAAGGAGGTGGAGTTTATCTTTTCCGAAGAATGCAAGAAGGCCTTCAACACTTTGAAGGAGATGCTAGTTACTGCCCCCATCATTCAAGCACCCGATTGGTCTCTTCCTTTTGAGATCATGTGTGACGCTAGCGATTATGCGGTAGGAGCCGTCTTGGGCCAAAAGGTTAGAAGGGCCTCTCATGTGATCTATTATGCATCCACCACCCTCAATGACGCCCAACGCAACTACGCCACCACCAAGAAAGAAATGTTGGCCGTCGTCTATGCACTTGAAAAATTCAGGTCATACTTACTTGGAACCAATGTGATCATTTACACCGATCACGCATCTCTTAAGTTCTTGATGATGAAAAAGGAGGCCAAGCCAAGGCTAATTCGATGGATACTCCTTCTAAGCGAGTTCGACGTCGAAATCAAAGACAAGAAGGGCATGGAAAACTTGGTGGCCGACCACTTGAGCCGACTCGTTCTTGATGAAGGGAATGATCATGCAAAGGACGATATCCGAGGGGAATTTCCCGATGAGACCCTTTTTTATCTAAAGGAAATTCGCCCTTGGTATGCTCACATTGTTAATTTCCTTGTCCTAAACAGGTTCCCACCAAGCTTCTCCAAATCTCAAAAAGAGAAACTCCAACATGACGCCAAACAATATGTGTGGGATGAACCTTATCTTTGGAAGCATTGCAAAGATCAAGTCATTAGAAGATGCATTCCTGAGAACGAGATGGCCTCCATCCTTGCATTTTGCCATTCACACGCTTGCGGAGGACACTTTGGAGACAAGCGAACATCAATGAAAGTACTTGAATGCGGTTTTTGGTGGCCAAGTTTATTTCGAGATGCCCATATCTTTTGTCAAGCTCGTGACAACTGCCAACGCATGGGAAACATCTCTCGGAAACATGAGATGCCTCAAGTCCCGATGCTCTATGTGGAAATCTTTGATGTATGGGGAATAGATTTCATGGGACCTTTTCCGAACTCGCATAGAAACTTATATAATCTCTTGGCGGTGGACTACGTGTCAAAATGGGTGGAAGAAAAAGCCACCAAGACCGATGATGCCAAAGTAGTGATGGACTTCCTCAAAACCCGCATCTTCTCAAGGTTTGGAGTTTTACGAATTCTAATCAGCGACAGGGCACTCACTTCTACAACAAAACTGTGAGTGCTTTGTTAAAGAAATACGGCGTCACTCATAAACTCTCCACCGCCTACCATCCACAAACGAACGGCCAAGCCGAAGTCTCAAACAGGGAGCTGAAATCTATACTCCAAAAGACGGTGAATCCTAACCACAAAGATTGGAGTCTTCGCATGGATGACGCCTTATGGGCATATAGGACCGCTTTCAAGACCCCAATTGGCATGTCACCTTATAGACTCGTGTTCGGGAAGGCCTGTCATCTCTCGGTTGTACTCAAACATAAGTCCTATTGGGCGGTGAAAACGCTGAATCTCTACATGGAACAAGCAGGGATCCAAAGGAAGCTGCAACTACAAGAGCTAGAGGAGCTCCGACTTGAGTCCTATGAGAACGCCGCCATCTACAAGGAGAAGACGAAGGTATGTCATGATAAAATTATAACAAGAAAGGACTTACAAATTGGAGACAAAGTCCTTCTTTTTCTATCACGCCTTCGTCTTTTCCCCGGCGAACTGAGATCACGATGGGAAGGACCATTCGAGGTGGTCAAAGTCTACCCCCACGGAGCGGTTGAAATAAAGAGCCTCGACACCGGCAAAATCTTCAAGGTTAACGGACATCAACTCAAACCGTTCCTTGAAGGTTTCCAAAAAGAAGGCGTTGAACGCATGGATCTCTTCGATCCAATCTATGAAGAATGAACACAACCATGGCGTCGTGCCGCAACGTTAACTAAGGCGCTTCTTGGGAGGCAACCCAATCAAGGTACGTGATTTTTTTATTTCCTTGTCAAATTTCCAGTTTCTGTTTTGAGAGGGTGAGAGAGAGGGCACTAATCACATGTTTTGAAAAAAGGGAAAGTGCAGGTTTTGAAGTATCTGGGGACATACCCAATCGAGTACCACTATACACCCGGTCGGGTATGGCTAAAAAAGGGGAACCGAAGCACTACTCGATCGAATGAGAGTAAATTTTTCAAAAATCCATGTATACCCGATCGGGTATAAATACATACCCGGTCGAGTATACATAGAAAGGCAAAGCTAAAAGGAACCTGCCCCGGACACTCGATCAAGTACGGGGTCCAAATATTGCAAAAGGAAGAATACTCGATCGAGTATCACTACACACCCGGTCGAGTATGTTCAGAAGGATGAAACCAAATAGAACCTGCTCCCAACACTCGATCGAATACAGGGCTCAAAATGTGAAAAAGAAACATACTCGATCGGGTATGACTATACACCCGATCGGGTATTGCTGGAAATTCAAAAGCCCAAACAAGCTGTCTCTAGTACCCGATCGGGTATGGCAAGATATTCGGTCGAGTATGGCTGGAAAACCGAAGTTTTGAACAAATTGTCTTCCGTACCCGATCGGGTATCACACCATACTCCATCGGGTATACCTGCGTTTTAACCCCAAAACAGCCCGAATCACTTCATCTTCCCCAATTTCCCAACCCCATTTTCGAACCCCTCCTTCCCAAAACTCCATTTTAGATCCTTCTCTCTACCATATCTCCTTCATTTCTCCATCAAATCACCCCATTCTTCCACCAAAATACTCCCCTCACCTTCCTCCACACACCCATACCCATAAACCCAATTTCCCCCCAAATTTCCAAAGGTCCGAAAAACCCTACCCCCAATTTCAATTTTCGAATTTTGAGCTTCCAAATCTCCAAAAATGGCACCAAGAAAGGACAAAGGGCAGAGCTCAAGGGATATGGAACCCATCCCGGGGTAGGAGGACCTCATTTTCGCCGACAACGAACACCGAGCTCGGTTCATCACTACAATTACAAGGCAAGTAAAATCTTCCCGTTTCTTATGCCATGATGCTCTCCGTGAACTAGGCATTTATAGTAGTACCAAGCAATTCTTTCGTGAGTTGGACATGAACCGCATTTTCAAAATGAAATACAACTCTAATGAAAGAATTGTCTATGAATTCATGAGATCGGTGAAGTTTGAGAATGATGAGGTTGATTTTAGAGATGGCAAACTCACATTTCGTTTGTTTAACCACACCTATTCAATAACGAAACATGAGTTTGCCGAACATTTTGGCATCCCCGTCCCCTACGAAAAAGCCATCTCCGACAACACCATTTTCGGTCATTCACTGTGGACCAAGATGACCGGACAAGTGAACTTTAGCTCCTCCCAGTTGTATATTACTCATGTCCAACACCCCGTCCTCCGATTGTTCTTGAAGTTTTTAGCAAACTGTTTGCTTGGGCACCCCAAAAATCACCACATGAGGATGGGGATGTGTGCTTGATGTCGGTGGCTCTATTCCGCCGTCATGTGGACTTTAACCTGTGCAATCTCATGTGGGCACATTTAAAAAAAGAAAGCAGAACGAGGGGGGCAATTGTTTTGGGTGGGGTGGTTATGCACTTGGCAAGTAAGTTCGGGTATATGGATAACTCTCTTATACCCGATTATTGTTTGATGGACATGACATGGTTAGGCCATTCGGGATGCACAACTTTCTCCCACACACTCTATGGTGGTGAACAACCGAAGAACATGTACAACTGGCTCATACACCCCAAGCCTATCAAACATTTCCTCTTGCCTAGCCCAGACCTTCCCAAACTACTCTACAAAGTAGAGGTAGAGGTGCCCCATTACCTATTCCCACACGCCCTTCCACCACACCTCCAAGAACCGCAACAAGAGTCACTCCAATACCAACCCGAGGATGCACCTTATGCCGAACCCCATGATAATGAGGACATGGACACAGACATCCCCGAGCAGCACCAAAACCCTCCTCCACCCAACTATTTCCAACAAATCTTGGAGGGTCAACAACAACTACTTGCAGGGTTCAACCAAATGAACCTTAACTACATGGTTATGGGAGAGCGGCTCAACCAAGTGCAGGAGGAGCAAAGGGCAGGTTTTCAACGGATGGAGGAGCTCCGAGAAGCCAACAGGCATCGATATGAAGAGGATCAACGTAGGTTCTACGGACCTATGTACTCTTACATAGCCCATCAAGGATCCTTTCACACTATGGCGAACCCCCTCCATCACCCTCGTGGTAGGACCCCATTCATTGGGGTAACTTTGGAGGATCTAGCTCCGGAGGTGGAAGGTATGATGGAGGAGATCACGGGAATGGCGACACCGGTGGCGGATTTGATAGCAGCTTTGGGGGCGGTTTCGGAGGCAGCTTCTATCGCGGAGAAGGCGGGCACTAGGGACAGTGCTTGGACTAAGTGTGGGGGAGAGACTCCTCATGGTATGTAATTTTATTTCTTACCTTTCACTACGCATGAATTTCTTTTACACACAAAAAAATAAAAAATAAAAAAAAGAGAATAAATAAAAGAAAAGAAATGCTAGTTAGGTTGAAAACCCAACAAAAATGGGAAATCTAAGCAAAAAGGGCTTATAAAAAAATGAGTGAGTTGGGGAGAATGGAAACTAGAAAGAGATGCTAGGATGAAAACCTGAAAAGGCTCCTAGGCAAAATGAGATATATGAGAGAAATATTTGTTTTTGCAGGCACTCATTTGATCTCTCTGGAGAATAAGAAGATTCAAGAAGAAGAAGAAGAAGAAGAAGAAGAAGAAAAGATGAGCACTAGAAGACCATAAAACCCAAGATGATATTTGTAATTTGAGCTTAAAAACTCATGTTTTATCCTTGGTGGTCTTTGTGTTTTTATCTTGTTAAAATTGTTGAAATTGTGAAAGACTTGACACTTGTGAACATTTAACTTTACTCGAGGACGAGTAAAGAAACTAAGTATGGGGGAGTTGATAATCATGTAATTTCCATGTGTATGTTTGTATTTTTAATTAGTTTTGATCGATTTTTACTTTGGAAATTACACACTTTTGGTGTAATAGTTTAGTTTGTTCAATTCTTGTAAATTGTTTAGGTTAGGTTCATTCTGAGCTCAAACAGGTCTTGATCGCTCAAAGGACAGTTGGTGAATCCCAGAAGTGGAAGAAAGGTGCATAATCTCAAGAGAAAATAGGATCCTGAATTTTTGGTCTGTACCCGGTCGAGTATCATCTATACTCGATCGGGTATCTTGTTGAAACTTCAAGTCGGATCGGATCTGAAGACAAAGGAACATGCAGGGAAGATTTTGACCACGATCGAGTGTCTATACCCGATCGGGTAGACCGACATACCCGATCGGGTATGCCCTTGAGTTTAACCCCAAATCCGGTCGAGTATAGCCTGAATATCATTTTCTACACATACTCGATCGGGTATAAAAGCACACCCGATCGGGTATACCTATAAAATATAGCCTATAATCGATCGAGTATACCTCGAATCTGGCATTTTACACATACTCGATCGGGTACCGTGTATATACCTGATCGGGTACCCGAGCTGCATCCCAAGAGCCTATAAATACACCCCCTTTCCTTCACAATTAGATATCCAATTTCCTATATACTTCTAAGCTCAGTCTAGAATAGTTCTCTCTTTATATTTTCTTCATGTTTAGTCTCCAAATTAGGAGCTAAACTCTTCCATCTTGATTTTGCTACTTTGAAGCTTAATGAATTTGTAAGTTGTGAGTTATTTTCTTTAATCTTCTTCCTTGAATATTAATTCTTCCTTTAAAATACTATTTCTATATCAAATTTGGGGAGTGTTACTAAGATGACAATTAGTTAACATCTTGACATTGGCTATAGTAATAGTTATTTCTTCCTCTATGTTAATATCGGGAAGTGTTACTAAGATGACACTTAGTTAACATCTTGATATTAACTATAGTAGGATTCATATTCTTTAATATTCTTCCTTGAGTATTAATTAATTCCTACTCATATTTCATGTTAATATTTTGAACATTACTTAAAGGATTGACTAGTTTTGTTTCATCTATTAATTATTACTAGAATCAATCGATTAATACGCTTGTTATTAATTCAATTCATTCAACGGTAGTAAACTTGGATTATTAATGCATGCATCTCATTGTTAATACACCAAGGGGAATTAATTATATTGATTAAACCAATAAACCGCTTGTGTTGAGGTTATCAATCTCAATCGTTTTCATCTTAAGCTTATTGCTACTATCGAATTAATATACGGCGCTTGTTCTATGTTGACTCGATAGTAAGTTTTATTAATGAACGCATCTCGTTATTAATAACTACCCTCGATGAACTGGATATACTCCTCGATTGAGTATTCGAGAGGAAGATAGTTAAAGATATAATCGGGATCGACGAACATTTTATTAAGTGAATAAAAGCAAAACCAAGTCCTCGTCTCTATTAATTAAACCACATAAGTCGTTCATCTTAGTGTTTAAATTTACTTCAAATTCTACAACAATCAAAACCCCTCTTTGTTACAAATTATATAAAAGAAAAGTATTCCTTCCCCTGTGGATACGAACCTTACTTCGTTATACTACGTATATTCGTTGTATTGTATTTATTTTGAGTGCATCTCACGACAAGTGCATGTCAAGTAGAATAAGAGGGTAGGCAGAATTTGGATCTGGAATTAGGCCTTGGGAGTGTTGAGATGACTCGATATGTCTCTATTGTATCTTTCCGTTTTCCGTTCAGTACTATCGTATCAATTCTAAGTCAATTTTCATCTCTTCGACTCTGGTTCCTAACAGTGGCCATTTCGTTTAACAATCTGACTGAACCCATCCAGTTTTTCCGAGTCACTCGCTGAGTACCCATCACGTTTTTTGACTCGGAGAATTTCTGACTCGGCGAGTTACTCGGCCAGTCATGAAATATTTTTTGGTTAAATATGAAAAGTTTTAATTAAAGAGGAATATTATGGAATTTATAAATAATGAATGGGTATTCTAAAAATGGAAATTAACCTTAAAATTATTACACATCCACTCATTCCAGTAGTGGTTCATCATCTCTTGGTACGTTATTCTCTTTTATCTTCTTTCTCGTTTCTTCTTCATTATGATTATTATTATTTTATTCATACCTAGGAATTAAATGAATAATACATTACTATAATTTCAGTCATTTGTATTTTTTAAAATTAATTCATACAAGGCCGAGTAATCACCGAGTACCCCGAGTACCCGATCCTACTCGCTACTCGGCCTTTGATCCAGTTGCTACAGAGTAACAATTAACTACTTAGGTCATCATACTCCTACTTCCAAACTCTAAAGAACCTCCCAAACCCACAAAACGTGATACCACATCTAGAATACCACGGAGGTAAATTAAAAAACAATGCTGAGTTGACACCAAACAAGTGTGGTGTTTTATTTGATCATATCTGTGTGTATTTTGGTCCATTTTAAGACTTTTTTATCGCATTGGAAAGATCATATGGAGTTCTAAAACTCATATTAAGATTTCATTTACAAAATATTACATGATGGGTACTGATTGAGTATATGGCCCAGGGACCCCCGACCCATAGACTCCCACTTCTCCTACGCAGACCCATCAAGCTTGGTGAGCACACAAAGCCCAAACGTAGTGGACCAAGCATGAAGAAGCCCACGGTGCACAGATAAGGCTAAGTATTTGTGTCACTCATATCTTGCTGTGTGTTCTTCCATTTTGAGCATATTATATCTCGTTGGAAAGATAATTTGGAGCTCTAAAGCTATCGTTCCAACTTCATTTACAATGCATTAATTAAAAGTTACAGATTAACCATAACTTCACAAATGTTTCTGATTTCACTCCGAACTCGTGTAGAATTTGATGCGATCATATCTTGCTCTATTTTGTTCCGTTGAAACGTTTAATATCTCGTTGGAAAGATCTTACCGAGTTCTAAAACTTGTCTTCAGGCGCTGATTTCAAAATATCAAAGGATGATTGTCTAATTACTAAAATACACTGTATTTACGCTAAAAGTGCTTTGTTTACGCTGAAAACGCTAAATAATAGAGATAAGGCTAAGTATTTGTGACACTCATATGTTGCTGTGTGTTCTTCCGTTTTGAGCTTATTATATCTCGTCGGAAAGATAATTTGGAGCTCTAAACATATTGTTCCAAATTCATTTACAACGCATTAATTAAAAGTTACAGATTAACCATAAATTCACAAATGTTTCTGATTTCACTCCGAACTCGTGTAGAATTTGATGTGATCATATCTTGCTCTATTTATTTCCGTTGAAAGCGTTGAATATCTCGTTGGAAAGATCTTACCGAGTTCTAAAACTTGTCTTCAGGCGTTGGTTTCAAAATATCAAGGGATGATTGCCTAATTACTAAAATACACTGTATTTACGCTAAAAGTGCTCTATTTACGCTGAAAATGCTAAATCATAGAGATAAGGCTAAATATTTGTGACACTCATATCTTGCTGTGTGTTCTTCCGTTTAGAGTGTATTATATCTCGTTGGAAAGATAATTTGGAGCTCTAAAGTTATTGTTCCAACTTCCAACTTCATTTACAATGCATTAATCTTCCGTTTAGAGTGTATTATGTTCACAAATGTTTCTGATTTCACTCCGAACTCGTGTAGAATTTGATGCGATCATATCTTGCTCTATTTTGTTCCGTTGAAAGCGTTTAATATCTCGTTGGAAAGATCTTACCGAGTTCTAAAACTTGTCTTCAGGCGCTGGTGTCAAAATATCAAGGGATGATTGCCTAATTACTAAAATACACTGTATTTACGCTAAAAGTACTCTATTTACGCTGAAAATGCTAATTCACAGAGATAAGGCTAAATATTTTTGCTTTCTTTACTAAAATTTGTTGTTAATAATGTACTTGTATTTGAAACTTAACTATTGAGGTTCAAAATGATGGTATCCTAGAATGTATTTGTATTTCTTATAGCTTCAAACGTTGAATGTATTTATGTGTGGCACATATTTAGAGCTGATTTGTAAGAAATTTAAAAAACAGGGACCGAAAAATGACAAGAATTGATGTCTTGCCACGTGGATGCATGCTGATGTGACTTGTCTCACAGGTGTTAAAACCCCGTCATTCCCAAATAGCAGTCACCATGGAATCTGGCCATAGTCCACTTTGAAGAGTAGTTCTGTAGTTGTAATGGCATATTGCATTAGGATCGTAAAAGATGTTGGTCTCCCCCTTACGAAAAGGTAAGAGGTGAGTTGGATAGTAAAAGCAACTCTTCTTTCCATGTCAATCACTGCTTGTTGGTGCTAGGATTCCCTAGTTTCACTTGATCGCCAATCCTTTATACATATATCCCTCAATTCTTTACCAGTACACCACTGCCATAAAAGTTTCACAGTCCTAAACCTTATAGCTATGCAACCCCGGTACCATCATAATTCCCTCAATTCTAAACCCTAGAAATTGGAGACGTGTCAATGCGTTTGAGGAGGGGCTGCTTATTTAATGAGAATGGGGCAGATTAATGATATTATGATGAGAAGGAATCTTCGAGAGAGCTTATTGTTTTCATATCTATGTAGGAATGTGAATCTAACCGCGAATACCAAGACAAATTGATTTAGTAAATAAAAATACCCTAAATGGGATTAACATAGAAAGGAGATGAAGGGGAGAAATGGTTCATTTATGTAGTTGGACGAATACCATGAAGAATGGGATGGAGACAGTGAAGGCGACGATAAAAGAGGCACTCAGTTGATAGGTTGTAGACGGAAAAAACTGGAAGATGCCAGTCATACAACATATTGAATATTGACACCAATGTAAAATTTGAGAAGGTTTATTTATTGAAGGAAATATATCGTTGTAAATGAAGTCAAACCAACGATCTTGATAATAGATGACTTTAGCGGGAGAATTAATTAGAGAAAATGTATAAGAAGATTAATTAATTAGAATGAATTAAAT